CGCTAGGATTATGTCAATGCCAAAGCAACCAAAACAAAGCGGAGACTCACCTCTTACATCAGGAAGAATCAGCGCGTTTCGAGCTGTATCCATTCTTTCATAATCCGTTGTCGAATTGTGATCGGCAGAAGCTTTTCCGGTTCACACCTCACTTATTTTTTACAGCAGCGGCCCAAAACGATCTCCTAACACATGGATTTTCTGCTTCCTGATCACGTGACGCATGACTTACGCGGATGAAGATTGGCTTTAGAGCTGAGATGTTTGTTTTCACGTTGTGGGGGCTCGTTCCGATGCCCGCACCTTAAAAAAATGCAAATAATGACTTTAGTCGTCATTGGCAGTGAACGGTTGGATTTAAAAAGATGACTTTAGTCAAGTTACCCTTCTTGAAAGAGTTTAATCTGCAGAAATGGTTAGATGTTACCTTCAGGAGCTTGTAAAAACAGTCAGAATGTGACCATGATTTTACAGATGGCTTAAACCAGCACCATCACCAGATTGGTAATCAGATACATTACTTCCCTGGAGCACAATGACAGAGGTGAGGCTTTCCAAGAGCAGGCACAATCAGTCCCTCCAACCATCTCCAGCAGGCAGTTAAGTGTCTTGCCACAACAGCAGAATTCTCTGGTGGAAGCCAGGATCACACTTGCAACCTTCCAAGCTCTGGACAACTCGCTCTACCTCCAGAGCTACTGCTGTCCTCGCAGCAGCCAGCTGCTACCACTTTGACTTTAGGTCAAACTACCAGAGTCCCAAAAAGAAAAACACCATTTGAAGTCACGGACAACAAAGTGGCAATTGCTGTTTAGCACTCTGTCGTTTACGTTCCTACATCAGTGCAGCATGGCCTGGGGATGGTGGGTGGGAGGGAATGATATTTTTGTGACTGTTTGGTTGAAAGGCAAGCTTTTTTTAGTAGATGTGGTAAAGCAGCTTTAGGTTAGTAATTTTAACTAGTTTTTAACCTGATGGGCACTAACTCAGACAAGTTGAAGAACTCGGGAGCATTAGAGAATTGTTTTCTATATGTAGAAGTTAAGCAAAATGACTCAAAATCACGCATTGGGGTGCCCTTGTGGTACGTGCACTTTTCACGGGCTGAGTGAATAAATTATGAACAAAAAGAGTGATGGTGATAAGGACATGATAACAGGGGGCCTGACAGACAGAGGAACCTGAGACTAACAGAGATGTTAGATATTGTAACTCACCCAGAGGAAAGGAGAAATCAGAGGAGAGAGTATCGCTATCTTGCAGATGTGGGTGGTTCGGAAATGATGTGATGGTTTGGGCAATGGCACGTTGCACCTTGTCTGTGTGTGTGTGTGCGTGTGTGTGTGTGTGTTTTATTGCGAGTGATTGTTTGCAGATGCATATGGCATCACATCCGTTGCCTGCGTCATTACCTTGATTAGACTGCAGAAGGGAGAGGCGAGGAAACCCAAGTCACTTCCCCCCTCCCTCTCTTCCTCTCTCTCCTCCACAGTATCTCAAAATCTTTCTTTTCTTTCAGTCTGAATCTGTTTCAGTGACACATTTCATGTCAAAGTCTGTATTTCTTGTAAACCTGAAGCATTATTTTGCCATGACATGATTTTTTTACCCTTTTCCCCTCTTCTTTCTTTCTCAGTTTCTTTTTCACAAGAAACACCCATGACATGTCAACACTTGTATAACCTCTCACGTATTATATAAAAAACTTACACCCAAGCAGAAAATAAAGTTGAAACATGAGAATGTTGATCAAGATAAATGTGGAGTCTGACTGTTGAGTTCACAGGAAGTCTACCTGTGCTCTGCAAAATGCTTCTGTGGTTGGATTTAGCACTGTGTGTGTGTGCGTGCGTGCGTGCGTGCGTGCGTGTGTGTGTGTGTGTGTGTGTGTGTGTATGTTTGACAGGATGGGTTGTTGTCATCTGAAACGTGTAAGAGCTAAATGTCTACTGAAGGCTTCCCTGAACCATGACCTTTGGATATTTCTCTAACAATAATTAACATATAAAAGATAGCCAGACGATTTCTCATCCAGCAGCCTCAGATAAGGTGATCTGAATGTCTGCCTGTAAATGAATAACTCTGATCTATTATTTACAAACTGATAAAGACAGGATATTTTTATTAAAGCTGCTTTAAACAGTTACGCTAACATCGTGCCAAGCCTGTTAACAAAAACTCTTCACATTTGTATTCATTTTGAGTTTTAGTTTTTTTAAGCAAATACTTTGTTTGACAGAGAATATGCATAATCAATCAACCAATCAGGGTTCATATAAATAACACCAACATAAATGATCATCTAAATGCATGCGTTAAAGGTGTGGAATACTTATTTAATCAATACTTTTGCAGTGGTTTCTAGTAAGAATGGATTCCTTGTAAATTGAGGAAAAAGCTCAGATGTGGTAAATTTAGGCTCAACTGGTAAATGATCTGTATTTGTATAGCACCCTCTTAGGGTTTTACAACCCCCTAAGGCGCTTCACAACACAATCAGTCATTCACCCATTCACATACACTTTCACATGCTGGTGATGATGAGTTTCATTGTAGCCACAGCTGCCCTGGGCCACACTGATGGACACAAGACTACTGAGCACAGGCGCCACCGGTCTCTCTGACCACCACCAGCAGGCAAGGTGGGTTAAGGGTTTAGTATGACGGTCCATGTAAGCCATAAATCATTCTGTCACTCCCACACACATATATTCTCCCCACACATGCGTACATTCTTCTCATACATTCACACATTCTACACTCATACACACATATATTCAATGCACACATGCATGTATTCTCTATGCACACATACACACATATAATCTCTGCACGCACACATATACTGTCTTTACGCACACATATATTCTCAACACACACATATTCTTTCCACACACACACACCTATATTCTCTGCACACACACATATATTCTCTTTACACACACATATATTCTCTGCACACATACACATATGCTCTACACAGACTCGCACACACCCCCACCCACGCCCATACGCACACACACATGCATATATTATCTGCACACACAAACATATATTCTGTACGAGCACACATATATTCATTGGACATACACATGCATACATATATTTTCTGCACGCACACATATATTCTGTGTGCGCACACGCACACACACGCGCACACACACACACACATTTTTTTCCTTTATTTTCACATTTACATATATATTATCTTAAATATTCTTATAATGTCAAACCAGAAAATATGTGTGCATGTTCAAGTGGGACTATATGTGTGTGTACAGAGAATATATGTGTGTGTACAGAGAATGGAGGAAATTGGAGAAACCAGCAATGGCACAAACTATTGTAAAAGGAGAAACGGTCCAAAGTTTAGGCACAAGCGTCAACGAGCATTTAGGCTAATGCTAGTAGATAGCACGCTCATGATGAAGCTTAATTCTGTCAAAAAACGAAGATTGTGACTCTAATAATGGCTCAACTCTGCAAGCGGAAGACAATTACCCACCATCCTGTTTATTTGTTGCTGCCTGCAGTATGGATCAGAGTCGCAGCAGCAACCTACACTTAGTTTGTTGTTAACTGTCTGCTCCTTAAGGCGGCAGCTTAACTGGAAATAGTTAGATGTATTGTTTTGATTAGAATGAGTGATATTATTACATACCTAAGTTTTTACATAAATGTAATGAAATTATTTTTCCATTCAATAGTTTTAGCTATCAAAATCAGATGGGAACGAGGGAACAAGACAACATCAATGTAATCCATATTATTGAGTCTGACATGTGAGCCTCATTATTGATTATTGCTATTACACATGTTCAGCTACAGACCACAGTCCCGTTTCTGTTGAAACATTGTCAAATAGAATATTTGATGAATCAACAGAGGATTAGATAGAACATTTGACAATTAAAAATTTTGATAGCTCCTGCCCATATTCACTCATGTATGCTAGTTCTGTTTTGCAGGATCAAAAAGCATTATCACGATACTTTAAACAACGACGTCATCCTTCTTCCAAAGCCGACAAGCTGTGTTGTCATCAAACATCGCTCAAAGCAACAGTTGCATGAGCAGGGTCACATACTACATGGATTTGAATTCCAGAAATCCTGAAACCAGAGAGGACTGTCACTAAACAAATTAGAGAAGTCTTTGGAGAAAAGCTGTCCACTGACACGCGCATGTGTAGCGTCCAGCAATGGTCAGTTTAGGTACAGCCTGACCTTTTACCATCTATTCAACATCTGGTCAGAAAGGACACAAAACTGCATGTGTTCCCTTTAAACAAGTCTGCCTTCACACCAGCTGGGATTCACAGACACTGCTGGTCTTGAAGATAAACAATAACCTTCTCTCCCAAGGTCTCATCTGTCTGCCTCCAGAAGACTCCAACTCAAGCTCGAATGAATTGCTAAATTCAACAATCATTTACTAAATCAATAAGAACTCCTATGACTTATAATCTAGATAATCATTAAATAAACATTTGTTTATTACTACTTATGATAATGTTACTTCCCCGACAGGAGGTGTTAAAATGTGAAGGAGGGGGTAACATAAGAATTGCGACAGTGGATTTAAAATGGGTTTAATTGTGATAAAAGGTTGTAAAAACAAGTGCAAACAGATGGCGAGCATTATTAAAATAATGCAAAACAAAAATGTCACTATAAGGTTAACAGTTAAAAGACAAATTATCAACTATATAAAACACCTGGTTAAAACTTTCTTAAAAGTGTTACCAAAACTGAAGGTGTTTAAAACCCCAATGAAGTTGATAAAAGTCTAAAAACTAAAAGCGAGTTAACCTCACAACTGAGTCAACCAAGTTGACCTTAACAAAAGATCCATGTGGATCACTCAGAGTTAAAACTTTTACAGTTAAAACTCTTCCAATCAAAGGGGTTTGTAAAATAATAGCTTATTCTGACATTTTCACATTAAGGTTTCAAGATGGACTGAGAACTCTTGGTGTGCTGGATCAAATCAAAGCTCACCCAGAGAGTTTTTGACCACTTCTGTGCTGGTCTCCTTCAATGCTCTCTGCTGACCTCGTCGACAGTCTCCAGGTGTCTCTTCCTTTCTCTTTCACCTCTGTCTCCATGTCTGGCCGGAATTACAAAGCATTCAAAAAACAATAACAATAAAGTTTTAAGTATCAGGCGTGACATTAAAAGCAGGTGCTTTGACACTCCATGTGATGGCCACATCCATGTCCACACAACGGTGAATGTTAAGTACACTCTTGCACTTTTATGATTGCAGTTTGTATGTTTATATTTCTTTGGCTTTATTGTTTAGATGGCTGAAATGCATTAGTTCTAATTGTAAGCGCGCACATTTAGTTAACTGCTGTATTTTATGCCTTTCATTTGTTCAATTTAAGTTGATTTGTTTTCTCTTACCGGTGCTGGGGTTCTCCACTTCCTGCTTCCTGAGATGGGACAGGCAAACAGGGTTGAAGGGGTTCTGTCAGCTAAATACAGGAGGAGCTGATGGGACCAAACCAATAGCTCCCTGAAGAGGGGACTGAAGAATTTCCTTTAATTTATTATTTTGTCATTTGTTAATTAATTTAAGTTTGAAGTTAAATAGTTAGGTTTATGGGTTAGGATGTTTAGGTTTATTAACAATCTGACTGTACTGATTTGTGGTTTTAGTTTTAGTTAGTAAATGTTTGTCTAGTAATCCCTATTGTTCATATGGTCTGATCAGCCAATGTGTATATATACCCTTGTGTGTCTTTGTTTGGGAGGTCGGTTATGGTTCAGTCAGTCAGTATGTTAAGTTAGCAGTTTATTGAGTTTCAGTTTGTTTGTCTGACCTCTTTTATGAGCTCGAGCTGTTTTTATGAGGACATTTTAAAACAAAACGGAAATTAAAGAGTCTATTTTTGGAAATTGCCTGTGTTCCTCCACTCATTCGGCTTGATCCCTCACACTCCAACTGAGAGTAAATCTGTAAGGCTTGTCACCAGCATTCAGACATTAATTCGGTTTGCTTCACAGCCAGACAGGACACGGGTAAAAAAAAAAAGGAATGCCTCCCTTCCAGGAAATGTACAAGGTTGCGATATAAATCTATATCATAATTTCCATCATCTTCAAATGGATCAAAGGTTTGCTGAAGATATTCCATTAATGTGAAAATATCTTTTAAAAGCGTTATTCCAGACTACTGTAGTCATCCTTGTCCTTGAGGACTGTTACATTAACTTTATGGTCACGTGGCCACCACTAACTTATCTTTAAATTCACAGGTCGTCATAAAAATGTCTGAGTCTCTAAACATCCTGAATCTGCAAAAGATCATAAATTTGACACATAAAAAATGAAAACCTCTGGTAAAGGGTGGAGAAACAGCTGAAGTGGACTTTCGATGTTGCCATGGAAACGTGGAGACGCTAAACGTTAAAACTAGCTACACAGTTTCAATAAGCAAGTCATGGTGTTTGTTTTACTTAAATATGTGTAGTCTTCCTAGGAACGAATGAGTAATTCTTGATCCGTCTGTGAAAAGAATGGTGCTCTATCTTTTCCTTCCATTTTCACTCATCTAGTATTGATTAACAGGGGCTGTCTGTGTATACGTGTGAGCCTAATACATCACTACTCCTTTAGATTACCTGTGCCAACTGCTACGGAAAACTTCTTTCATCTCATTTTCTGCCGCACCTTGATTCACATTAGGGAAACGTGAGCCTGTTCTTGGCTCCTTGAGACTTGAGGATAAAGATGTGACCATTTCAGGACACAATGAAATGTTTCTCAACATCCCCATTGCCTGCTGAAGAGCTACAGATTCATTTCGGGTGTCCATATTGAGCGCCTTCTCTTCACAATGACCCACAAACCTTTCAGCCAATCAGAGAACAGTAATGCCTGACTTCCGTTTTCACTGTAACGTGATGAAGGAGCAATTCCTCCGAAGGTTAGCAAGTCAACCCCTACCAGATTCTAACTCCACTCCCACTTCATGTTTGAAAAATGCAACACATGCTGTTGCCTGGCAGACCGAGGGGGCGGAGCTGCTAACAAATACACACACACTCAGTTTCACGACAGCATTGTGACATCATAATGTACCAGTTTACATCATAGCATACTTCTTAGCCAATAGCGGTGGCAGATTTAAATTCAAATACAGTGCAGAGTTTTTACCTGACAACGGCACAACACTGCCAGTTTTAGGCAGAATATTTAAATTTTAACTAAGATGCACTGAAGTGCCAAATTATTGACGACACGTGTCTGCAGCACGATTAGACACTCGTTTATTTAGTTTATCAGCAAAAAAAAGTTTATTTGGGGGTGACTTGCTCTTTAACCTCTCTCCACAGATGCCTCTGACACAGTACTAAGTGCATGAGACTGCCTCAAGGTCATACATTTGCTTCTAAAACTTTTTTTTTCAAGCAAGAGAAGAATGAAGATAAAGGACTCTTTGCTTTTAATAAATCAAAGAACTCTATTTTTAATAAAGCTAATCAAGCAAAGTGTTAGTCAATAATATAATGTTGACCAATCTGTGAAATGACAATGTTATGATTAATATGCTTTAATAAGTAATATGACTTTAATCTGGTGCACTAGACATGCTGACTACACGTAAGTAAACACATGACACGTTGCATTACTGATCCAATCAGCACCTTCCTTTCTGAAGCGTGGCATAGTCTCTGTGGTGTTTATAAATCTGCCAACTTTGATTTGACCAGAAATCAAAACATCCAGATTACTAAAACATGTCCCACGCCATCTTAAGTTCAGTTCTCAAGATCTCACTGGAGTTCACCGCATGCTAAGCGAAGTATCGGACCGGCCATCCGGACTTCCTTTTTAAGCCGAGAACCAACAAGCTGGATAAAATCTGTTGCATTTTATCAACCAAGCAACGGTTCATTTCAGAATAAAAGCTGAACTCACTGACCCAAAGGGGGGTCCATCTGACGCTGTGAACCACCTGTCGCTTTTACCTGGAGACAATCCAAATACTAGTTTGTCGTACCGCTGACGCTGTTGCACCGGCTCCTTTACCGAAAGGGGGGTCCGAGGCCCTGACATTCTGGATCTGTACGGAGGTTTCATTTCAAGGGTATGTGTGGAGCGACAATATGGCGTCTCATGTGTTTATGAAACTCCGATCAAACTCTGATCATAGCTAGAAGCAAAACATCACAACATCATTCAGACTTGCTTCTCCGGATACGAGAGTTTTGATAATAACATCACTCACACATACACCATTCATCTCACGTCTCATTCACACCAGATCCATCCATCATTTAGAGTTAGTCTTGTTTAAAATTGTTTAAATAGTTTAGAAATAAATCATCTTAAACGTTTTAAAGGACTCTCTCTCTCTTCTCTTGTCTCTCAGTTAATACAAAGTGTTACATAATCCCTGCAATAAAAAGTTCCAATCTTCTGGTTAAATAACCCAACTGTCCGTAAGATTGATTTCATATCCACTATGGAATTTTATGTCTCACGGGTCTTTAATTAGATGTAAATTAACTTCTTTTACATGTAAACTTTTCTCTCATCCACATACATTCTGTGTGTATGTGTGTGTGTGTGTGTGTGTGTGTGTGTGTGTGTGTGTGTGTGTGTGTGTGTGTGTGTGTGTGTGTGGGCGTGGGTGTGGGTATGTGCGTGGGTATGTGCGAGTCTGTGTAGAGAATATGTTTATGTAAAGAGATTGTTTGTGTGTGTGTGTGTGTGTGTGTGTGTGTGTGTGTGTGTGTGTGTGTGTGTGTGTGTGTGTGTGTGTGTGTGTGTGTGTGTGTGTGTGTGGGCGTGGGTGTGTGGGTGTGTGTGGGCGTGGGTGTGGGTGTGTGCGAGTCTGTGTAGAGAATATGTTTATGTAAAGAGAATGTGTGTGTGTGTGTGTGTGTGTGTGTGTGTGTGTGTGTGTGTGTGTGTGTGTGTGTGTGTGTGTGTGTGTGTGTGTGTGTGTGTAAAGAGAATATGTGTGTGTTTGCAGAGAATATGTGTGTGTTTGCAGAGAATATAGGTGTGTGTGCAGAGAATGTGTGTGTGTGTGTTGAGAATATATGTGTGCATAAAGACAATATATGTGTGCGTGCAGAGATTATAGGTGTGTGTGCATGGAGAATGGATGCGTGTGTGCATTGAATATATGTGTGTATGAGTGTAGAATGTATGTATGTATGAGAAGAATGTATGCATGTGTGGAGAGAATATATGTATGTGAGAGTGACAGAATGAATTATGGCTTACATGGCCCCTCATAGTTTTGCCAAGGGCACAACAGCAGCATTGATCCTACAACCTTCGAATACTGGAAAAACCTGCTCTACACCCTGAGCTACTGCTGTCTTGTTAAGGAAGTGCAAGTCAGTAGGAGAAAGTAGCTTCAGACAGCAGGTAATTGAGTCTTATTTCCTGACATTTGGACATCTCGCCTCTGATTGGGTAACAGCAACATGACTCTACCACTGACTCTGTTTGCTCTGCAACATTGATGTTTTATCTCCACAAATAACACAAGCCTGGAGGAGTTCTGCCATGTGGTGGAGTTTCCAATGCTAACGGTTAGCTTCTACTATAGCTGAGGTGATCCAAAAACATCTTGCGAGGCTAGATGAGTTACTCCATGAATGTTAAGTGACAGTGTGACATATGTCTGCCGGGCTTTTCAAATCCTTTAGTTTAATAAATTTTCTATCCGAAGCTTTTCCGAAGCTGATGCAGGAGAGAGGGTTAGGAGACTATTTTCATGTTCCGCCTACATGACAAACTCAGAGTAACTCATTTTAATCACACATAATTTAAAAAAATGCATTTTCAGTTTTCCATACCTTTAAAATGTCATAAGAATATTAAAGGAAGTAACAGAAAACATAAAAGCAGATGTGAGCAGACTGGGAGAGTGCTAAAACCACAGTGTAACCTCAAGCCCCCACAACGGAGCTCTAAAATTGAGTTAAACCCTGAAGTACCAAAAATTGCAGTTCCACTCTCATCCGCTGGGGGCTGGTGTCAGAAGCGAGCAAATCCTCATTGACTCCCATGTTAAAAATAGCAATTTCACAGCAGATATAAACATGTTTACAGCCTGGTACCAGAACATGTTTTTTGTTTAAATTATCTAGTTTACACTCATGACAACTCTGAGGGGGGT